GGAAGAGAATTAGAAGGAAAGAAATTTACTGAACTGATCTTGGTCGAACCGTTGGTACTGAAATTTACAAGATCAGACCTTGCTTAGTAATTAGTAATAACCGACAAAATGAAATTAGTACTCGAATAATTATTATTCCGCTCACTTCTCAGTCAGTTTCTTCTAATGTTTTGCATATCAAAATAAGATTAGTAGGGAAAATAGCTTACATTTTGCCCGAACAAATTCGTTCGGTAAGTAAAAAGAGGATAAAAAGTCGTTTAGGAGAGGTTAGCACGGAAGTGATGCGAAAAGTAAGTAAATTTCTTCATATTATTTGTGAATTAGAAGAAGATTATGTCTAAAAGAACTAAAAAACCCCTCCAACAACTCCCCTCCCCTCAACTCCTTAATCAAGTTAGTGACTACATCATCAACCGCAAAAACAAAAGACATGAAAGCAAACGCTGAATCCACTACTGTCTTTTCCTCCTTTGTTGAAAAGCCGGACTAAGAGTAAATGAAGCCATAAATTTTGATTATCATCTAGAACATCCTGCTTCAGAATACAAAGGTTTATATTTATTACGAGGCAAGGGAAGCAAAGAAAGATATGTATATATTTCTCCAGAAATAATAAAAGTCTTAAAAAGCCATGACTGAAAGCCTCAACAGACTAACCGGATTAATTTCTTTGAGTTCTTAAAGGAGGCAAAAGAAAGCTTAAATATTCCTAATCATATTGAACTAACCCCTCACACTTTAAGAAGAAGTTTTGCTACTTATAACGCCATTTCCGGAATGCCTTTACCAATTTTACAAAATGTTCTTGGTCATGCTAATTTAAGAACCACGGCTTTATATGTGAAGGCGAGTAGGTTGGAGAATTTGTTGAAATTTAAGCCAATTTAGAGTAAATTTTCGTTAAAATCTTATATATGACATCATTTAACTATTTTTCAGAAAACTTTCCAGAGAGAGAGAGAGAAAGAGCTTTTGAAAAGCAATTGTTTAACCTTGAAATATGACCCAAGATTCCTTTTGAGAACAGCAAAAGAATGGTAAATGAAAAACTTTAATCTCTCCTTTAAAAAACGACCCAGAAATCCATTCTAAATTTAATAGTTTTATAACTGATTTTTACTGAAAATTCCGTCAAAAGAAAGGAATAACTAATGAAATTCATCAACAAGTTAAGTTTCAGGGGTTTAGTGGTTTCAAAGATTTTTCCGAAGAGACTAAAATGGGACATTGTGAAGCACCAAACTTAACTGAACATTGGCAAGCACTAGATGGAAAAAAAGTAGAAGGTTCTGGATACTGAACTGGAGAGATATCAATTGTTCTTAATCAGAAACTTTTATTATATAGATTAGGAATGGATAAATGATTTTCTAGTGAAAGAAATTTTTTATCAGTAGATTTAGAGGGATTAATTGGGACTATAGCACATGAATTGGCTCATGCTTATCAGTTCGTTGCTAACCTTGGAAAAGGAGAAGAATTAAGCCAATGCGAAAGCACGGGAGAAAGAGATGCTAATGGTAATCTTTTATATCCGGGGTTAGCAGCGGAGCATACAGTTTTAACGAAGGAGATTAAGGAAATGATTGAAAGCTCGGCGGAGTATCAAGAGTTTAAAAAGTGATGAGAAGAAGGTAGAAAAGAGATTAGCAATCAAGAAAAGCAAAAATGTTCTGAATGCAATAAAGAACTCTATTCTAAAAAAACTAGCCATGGTAACACCACAAATAAAGTCACCTATAAAAACAGAGAAATTTGTGTAGATTGCCACCATGAATTAGTTAGAAAAGAGCATCAGCAAAAGCAAGAGAATCAAGGAAGCCAACAGAGTAAAAAATGTGCCATTTGTGGAAAAGTTCAAGATAAAGAAGATTTTCATTTGGCTACTGATACAAATACCGGTAGACAATTAGGTTATTATTGTGAACCTTGTAAGGAAGAGTTAGAAAAAAGGACAAAAGAAGAGGAAAAATGTCAAGTTTGTGGCACAACCGAGAACACTTTTAACATGGCTCAACGAACTTCCATGGGGAGTGGCGAAGTAATAGAGGAAGGAGGATGATATTGTAAAACTTGTTTTGACAGAAAGATTAAGGAGAAGCAAGAAAAAGAAAGACCAAATTTATCAAATCAAAACCAACCGAACCAAAAAAGAACTAACCAAGAGCATAACGAAAAAAAATGAGGTTCCGACTTTGGACAATTAAAACCACTCCAAAGAGAAGGAAGAATTAAAACTCAAAATAGTTGAAGTAACAAAAAAAGTATCTCTTTTGTTTGTATTCATTGCCAAAAACTTTTTCCCTATGATAAAAATATCGAAAATTATTTAGAAGCTAGACAAAGAGCTCAGGATGAACTAAATAATCACGAAAAATCTTGTTCTCTTAAAGGAAGTGAATCAGCTAAGACTGGATTACAAAAATTTTGAGATGAAGCTAGAAAAAGCAAACGAAGAATAATTAAAACTTGTGAAAAATGTTGAGGTAAAGTTTTATGAGATAAGAGTATTGAAGATGTTGAAATTGCTAAGCAACAAGCCTTATCTGATTTAAAATATCATCAAAAAGAGTGTGGAGTGGAAGGTAAAAAGAAAATTGCTATTTATCATTCTCCTAATAGTGGCGGTAATGAACATGCTCCAATTGATAATTCTTTAACTGACGATGGAGTTTATTTATTTGATAATGAAGGAGAGGTTTATCAGCAGACTCAAGAGATTAAAAGGAGTTATTGACCTTGGGTTATTGGTGGATTAGTAGGAATGGGGATTATTGGGTTAATTGTTTTATTCGTTAGGAAGCAAAGAAGTTCTGGGTAAAAGGTGGAAATTATAACCAAGTTTTTTATTTTTAGAAATTCTAAAATTATATATAGTAGAAAAAACTCATATGTCAGACCCAGAAACCAATTATAAAAGAACCAAACCCTGAGGACTAAAAGTCCACGAAAACTTCTTCTGAAAAGTAAAACAAACTGCTCTTGAAGAAAGATGTGAAGTAGTAGAGTTAGTGGAAAAGGCTTTAAACGAATACATTGAAAACCACCATCACACACACACACACACACACACAGAGAGAGAGAGAGAGAGAACCAAAAATCTCTACATGGTTAATAGTCTAAAAGGAGGAAGACATGACTAAAAATACCCAACCAGAAATTAAAACTAATCAAAAGTCTTGAAAATTTTGAAAAAAATCTAATCCCCAAGAGGAATCATTTACAACTAGTAGTTCCCAAAGTGGTAAGCAAGAAAAAAATCTGCGTTATTGAAAAAAAGAAAAACAAGAATTAAAAAGCCAAATTACCGGTTTAACCAGTGAAAAAAACAGTAGTTTAGAAAACCTTAATGCCACTTTACAATCCTTACAAGATTTACAAGGCCAAAATCAACAACTTCTTACCGATAAACAGCAACTTTTTAACGCCCAGGAGGAATTACAAACTAAATTAGAAAAATTAGAACTAGTGGAAAAAGATTATAATCTCTTACTCCTCAAAAAAGTACAGCTTCAAGAAGAATTAGACAAGAGAGAGAGAGAGAGAGTTGAATTTGACCAGCGGGAAAAAGAATTATTGGACGACGGAATTAAATTACATTCCTTATTAGAACATGAAAAAGAGCAGGTAAAAGATACAAAAAAAAAGGCCATTTGAGAAATTAATTTATTACGAGAATTAACCAATGACTTAACTAACCAAAAAGATCAATTAAGCGAACAAAATAATCTTTTAGGTCAACAATCAGCCGACCAACAGCGACAATTAACCAGTGAGCAAAAGAAAGCCAAATCTTTACAGGCTAAATGTAGAAAATTACGGCAACAAATTACTACTTTACAAACTGACCGAGACCAACAAGTCCAAGCTAATGAATTACTGATTAAAAATTTTACGGAACTAGCCAACAACAATAAAAAACTTTTAGCCACTTACCGGCAAGACAAAGCGACCCATGAAGATATTCAATTACAATTAACTAATGATTTAAATGATGTCGAACAAGCTCTCGATGAATTACGAGCTCGACAATCAGACAACTCATTAACCGAGCCAATAAATACTAGTCAACGATCCCGAAAAAAGTTCGATTATCAAGATGTAAGTTCCTTTTTTTCCTTAGAAGATGGTTACCAGTCAGCAGAGGATTCTCCAATTTCGTTTGCTCCGTTTTCGTCTGATGAAGAAAGTGAAAGCAGCGCAGAATTAAATGATTTAAGAAACCAAAAACAACAATTAACTAGGGAAGTCCAACAAGCCGAAATGTTAAAAAATAATACTTTGCAAAGTTTACGAGACTTACAAGAGGAAAACCGAAAACTTCAAGACGACTTAGCCACCACCGAACTGCAAAGAGAAAACATGGAAAAAGCTTACGATTTAGCAACGGAACGACTAAATATTGCCCTTAATAATTTAGCTAATAAAGAAGAGGAAATAACCACCCTAAACCAAAATTATCAAAATTCACAGAAAGAAAATCAACAATTAGCCCAATTTTTAGCTAACGAGCAAATTCAACACCAACAAACTCAATTTAATTTAGCTCGTCAAACCAGTACTAAGAATCAGTTAATTCAGCAGCGAGATAATATTTGCCAATCTCTTTATGATTTACAAGCTGAAAATCAGCAATTTCAGTGGAATATTGATGACCGAATTGCCGAACGAGATAGTATCGCCAAAGAGCGAGACGATTTGGCTAAGCAGGCAAGTGGAGAAACCAGAAAAGTTAATTTGCTGCAAAATAAAGCTGCTTCTCTCCGCACTCAACTTCGTAATGCGCAAGATGATTTAACTGCCAGTCAAAACGGAAGCCAGTATTGACAAGGACAAGCGGCAAATTTACAAGCACAATTAACAATTAAAGAGAGAAATATCGAGTTATTGAGAAATAAGGCTCAATATTTAAGAAATGATAAACGACAATTAGAGCAAAATTTAACTACTGCCCAGGGAACGATTACTACTCTCAACCAACAAATTACCACTTTAACCAATGAAAAAAATACCTTACAAACTGAATTAACTACTTGACAAGCCTGGTTCCCCAATCAAATTCCCTCCCAAATAGCTCAGGAATATCAGGACTTATTCGACCAACTACAAACGGCGCAAATTATGCTTAATAATCTTCCCACTTGCTCCCATACGGATTATGATTTAATTAAGCAAGATTATAAAGATTTACAGGTTAAAAATAATTCTTTAGAAGGAAATATTAATCAACTTCAAAACCAAAACCAAAAACAAGCTGCTGAATGTAAACAACACTTGGCGGAAAAAGAAGCCCAAATTCGGCAAAAGTTCATTGAAGATTTAAAATTAACTAATTTAGATAAAACTGCCTCGGTGGAAAAAATAATTACCACTATTCAGCAATTAATTCGCAAAGACCCTATTATTTTAACCGAAGAATTATCTAAGGAGACTATTCAAGAACAATTAACAGAAGCTCAATCAACAATTATTAGATTAGAAAAAGAATTGGGAGAAAAAAATGCTGATGTTCCTTTTGAAGAAAACTTAGGAGCTATTAAGCAAGCTGATTTAGAATTATTAACTAAAATTTTCTCTGAGGAGCAAATACCGGATCAAGTTAGACAAGAGATTGCTCAAGCCACAACTTATCAGCAAGTAGTCGCCGCCAGACAAGCTTTTTTAGAAAAGCATCTAGGTCAAGAGCAAAATAAAATTCAAGCAGTTAATCAAATATCCACTGAATTAAGTCAACCAGTTAATAAAGAAAGAATTATTTGGATTGGACTATTGATAACTGCTTTGTTAACTATTGGGGGATTATTGATGAAATTAAGAGGAAAGAAAAAATAACTGTTTAAGGAAACCGCGGGAAACCAAAAGAAGCAAACTAGTGAAGAAAAATTTTGTGATCGAGAAGAACTTGTAAGTTGCTGCTACCGCAGAGGAAGTAATGAAAAAAAATAAAAGTCTTTTTTTGATAAGCAAATTTTTCATTAATAATTTTTTGAAGATTATTAGGTTACTAAATTTTTTTGATTAATTCACCATTAACAAAGATAATAATTATCCCTTCTTCCCATACCTATCCAAAATTCCATAGTCTAGGATTCATTTAATTTTACTTCTTTCTTCTCACTCTTTTCATTTTTTTTGCACGTAAATCATACCTTGTTCTCCGGTTCAATTGTTTACTTTAATTAGATGGTCAAAAGCTTCTTGGTGTTTACCAATTAGGGAAGCATAACCCATATGTTGAGCTAAATGACACTGCCGGCAAATGGCTTCCAATCTAATTAAAATTTGCCTATTGTCTTTATACTCTCAAACTTCATTACAATCTAAACGAACCTTTTTAACTCCACAGATTTCGCAAGTATAGTTGGCTTGATAGTAAACTTTTCGACGAATAGTATCTCATTCTCTTTTACTGATTTTACTGCGAGTATTTTTTCATCAGGAGGTAGAGGGGATAAGGTTAAGGGGAAGTTTAGGGTCGCTCATGGTTTATGAGTTTTTTAAGGAATGGATGGATATAATTGAGCAGCTGATGGCTATTTATTTGTCAACTTCTTCATTTTTCCTCATAATATAACTCCGCAAACATTTAACTTTACCGCAAAGGTATTTATCTTTTTCGGGTTCTAGGAAATTAAGAATTTCTTCACATTCTAGACAGATTTTTTCTTGGTCTTTAAGTTTTTCTTTTTCTTGTTTTAAAGTAGGTTTTTTTTTAGTAATCCAAGGACAGTTTTTACAAGGAGTTCAGTTAATTAGGTCTGAACCATGCTTTTTTAAGCATTTAGCACAAGGTTCTTGTTGAGAGTTAAGTTCCATAAGAAAATTTTAGCTCTTTTTAAGTGAGAAGAAACTCGACGAAAGCACAACAGGGCTAAAAACTGGTTATCAGCATGACTGTAGGTAGCACTTTTTCTTAAAAAGGCTAACTACGTCATTTGCTAACCTAAGTTTAGTCCCCCGTTGGCTTTGCTTGTCCTTATAAGTCTCCTAATATTATCTTTAATCCCTCACCAATATTTTCTACTCTTACAGACTTTGCTTCGCCACTTCTCCTTGCTTTGTACCAAACCTTATAATAAATTTCCTCATTTTCCTTAGGATTACCATATTGAATCAATATTATTACGCGAACTTTCTGAGGAGCTTGTTCGGTAGTTTCTTCTTCGGCTTCTCTTACGTGAACCAATTTCCGCTTCAGCTTATCCTTTTCTAAGTGTTCACCCGTAACTTCTAAGCAAACCACTGTTTCTTCATTTGGTCATAGCAAAAAATCGGGATAGAACTTCTCTGTAGCTCCTTCCTCATCAATTAATTCGATGCTATAACCATAATAGGTAGGATTACGACACCAATCAATTCCTAAATCATCTAAAACTTCGGCTACCCTTCTCTCTAAGTTATTTAAATCGCTACCATTATATTGCGAGTGTAAAGCATTATTAAACTCCTTTCCGGATTTTTTTCTTACTCGTAATCCTTTCACCTGATAAGGGTCATCTAAATTAACCTTTAAACTACTCTCTTTTAAATAAGTAGTAATTAATTCTTCCCCAACTTTACACAACTCTTTTTCCGCCTGGGAACCTCAACCTACCAAAGCATCAAATTTCCTGTTTTCCCATTCTAATAAATTATAAACTTTAGTGTTTTTATTAATGATAGTACGCCGCAAAATTACCCGTGCTGGCACCATATTAGTTAAACCAAAAGCCTCTTGACGAATTTCCGGCTGAGTAATCTGAATTCCTAATTCATATTCTGTCCATTGTCGTTGACCAATGTTTTGCATATAACTTTCTGGGTATTTACTTCGCTCTGAATAATCAGGAATATTATTCACAATCCTTTGTAGTCTTCTTTGAATAGTTTCGATGTCTCAGGTTAAAAGGGGGACTTTTCTTTCACTTTTACCAAATTTTACCGGCAAGTCTATTGTTTTTCCTAACTTTCCCGTCGGATCTCTAATTTCAATATCATCTCATTCAATTCCTACCAACTTATCATTTAAATCAGAGATTACCTTTTGAAAAACCTGATCTTCATCAACCCGAATATGAAAATAAGCTTTGTTCAGTTTTTCCTCTTTATAATACTGGCAATTAGGTTGTCTTAATACTCTTCCAATGATTTGTTCAATCGCTATTTCGCTACCAATAGTTTTATCAATGTAGGCTAAGTAAATCATAGGATTATCTCAACCTTCGGCTAAGGAACGATTAAAGATAATATGCTGAAAATCACTCTTGATAAACTTCTCGTAAGTATTTTCTTTTAATCCTGATCTTCCAAATAAATTCCTTTTAAAATTCAAATCTAAGGCGTATTTTTCTTCTTCAGCCATATCAATATCAGCATAAACGGCAATAGTTTCCGGGTCAATTTTTCATTGGTTAACTAAATAGTTTCAAATTAAAATTGGAGGGGCTTGGCGTTGGGAGAAAGGAACTTGTGGATTATCTCTTTTTCGTTGTCGAGCCTTTTTAGCTTCTAGTTCCAAAAGATTAGTCTTACAAACATAAATGATTTTAGGAATAGGTAAATTTTCTTTAGCTGCTAGTTTACTGAGCTCTTGCCAATCACCTAGCATTTCGTTAATTACTTCGTGCATCGGATGGTTATAGCCTCCTAATACTACTTTGCTTTTTACCATTTGCCTTGCTTTGACTCGTTGAAAAGAAACCGCCGTAATTAACCCATGTCTTTGTTTTTCTAGTTTTTCTAAGTAAGGCTTTAATCGTGCCGGGTAAGAAGGGGTACCAGAAGAAAGGATTATTCCTTGGGGATTTAATTCTAAAGCTTTTTCTAGTTGACGATCGGATAAGTTTTGGGATTCATCGTAGATTACTATCAGGTCTCTTTTAGTTAAATAATTTCTTTCACTTAATAAATCTCAACGAGACTTATCTCCCTTATCAGCCTCTAATTGGTAGATTTTGCGACTTTCTTTATTTTCTACACTAAATTTTTGTACTGTATCCACATAAATTAAAGGAACTTGAAAATTAGCAATATCTTCGTAAGCAATTTCTAAGAAAGGCTTAATTTGAGTTTGTGGAGGCAATAAAGATTGATATTTACCCTTTAAATTTCTTAAAGTTTGTTGAACTATTACTTTATTGCAGCTTAATCAGAAGATGATGGGGAAGTTAGGAGCAAAATGTTCAAAAATATTGCTCACGGTTTGCGCCAGGATGGCTGTTTTTCCGCTTCCAGTTACACTGACTAGGGATTGGATTAGAGGAATAGGCTGATTTATTTGCAAATCAAAGATGGGTTGATAATTACAATGTTTATCAGCTAGTTTTTTAGCGGCTTCTTTTTGGTAATCATGAAGTTCAAAGTTTTCCATTATTTTCTTTTTCCTCCTAATCTTTCATTTAGACTAACCCCGAATTCTAAAAGGAGATTATCGGGAATTTTGCCAAACCTGATGGTGGAAGAAGCATAAGCCATGGTGCGAGCATAGATATGATAAATTGGAACTAAGTTATGTTTTTTTCTTTCTAAAGAACATTGTCGATAAACTTTTTCGGTAATATTGCTTTGTCTTTTTTTACCATTGCTTTCTCAGACTAGATAAACACCTTCATTTTTTTGATTTTTAGCAATTAAATAGGTATTGTTAGGTAGGGGAGTAGCCGTATCTAGTTGGCTCGAAAGAATGGTGTCAGTTAATTCTTCTCTTTCCATTTGCAGAATAGTTTGAGAATCAATTTGCTTAGTAAGTTTAAGGTAGCGAAAGTTGCCGGGAAGAGGGTCATGAGGTTTTTTGTCGGCTCATTGACCGGTGATGGTGGCTTTGAGGCGAGGGTAAAGTAAGTCACGACAAAAATTATCCCCATTATTAGGATTTCCTTTTTCGATGAGGATGAAACGACGATTAGTGCTAGCAATTTTATTAAGTTGTAAAATGCTTTCGCCAGCAGTTCCGCTACCTGCAAAAGGGTCTAGAACAGTCCCATTAGATGGACTTCATATTTGAATTATTTTAGTGAATAGTTTAAGAGGTTTAACACCAATGAATTTTTCAACTGTTTTTACTCGAGACTTTAACTCTGAGCTTCCGGTTTGTGAATGACCTGACACTTTGTGTGATCAAGAAACTGAGCCAAAGTTAAGTGGTTTGCCAAAATCTTCATTAGCTCAAAAAGTAGTAGGAGGCAAACCTTTCTTTTGTACGTCTTTAAGATATTGTTTTGCGGCTAGTCTTCCCTTGCCTTCTTTAGAAAAATAAATTTCTGGTCAGGGTTCAGTCCGGTAAATTTTATAAGCTTTTTTAGAAGCTTCCTTTATTACTGGATCAATTTCTAGCGGATCAGTGTTTTCTGGATAAGGAGCTTGACTTCCTTTAATCACTAATGCTGAGACACGATCATCTCCCAAATCTCTTTCTTCATACTCAGAGCCCCATTGCTCTAAAACGGATTTCACTCGGCTTTTGCCCCGCCGCCAATGACTCCTTGGCGGCGGGTACTGGATTTCTCCAGTAAAAGGATTTTGAATTCCATATACCAAACTACGAGAAATAGTTTGAGCATTAAATCCAGCAGGTTTTCAGGCTCCTTTTGGGTCATTATCAGGATTCTTATAATAACTTAACATTTTTTCTCCTCGCGAAAGAGAATTTTGTTGCAAAAAGTTTTTGTCTTTCGCATAAACTAGCACATATTCAGTTGCCGAAACTATATTTTTGGGATCCCCTCTTACTCCATAATTCTTTTGTCAGTTGATAATTCCGACCCGATTTTCTTCCCCGAAAACTTCGTTTAACATAGGCAATAAATGCGATATTTCGTTATCATCAATACAAATCGCCAAAACCCCACTGTTTTTTAGCATTCCTCTCATCACTATTAAGCGGGGTAACATAAACTTCATTCATTTAGTATGTCTTGAGGGGTCATCGGCTTTAATTAAATTCCCAATTCCTTCATCGTTAGGGTCTTCATTTCACTTATCACTATAACGAAAATCTTTGCCGGTATTATAAGGAGGATCAGTTAGAATTAAATCAACTTTATTTCTATACTTAGAAAGTGAGGCTAAGGCCTGTAAGTTGTCGCCTTCAATGACTAAATTAGCTGATTGTTCATCAGGATTGAGTGAGTATTTAGGAAGTTCTTTTAAAATACGAGGTTTAACTTGATAGATGATTTTCTTAGCCTGAGCTTTGTCAGAAAAAAAGATTTTAATTCCCCCGCCTTCGGTTAGTTCTTCTAGCTTAGTTTTAAGTTTTTGGTTTTCTGTTTTTAATTTGATTAGTTGGGTTTGGAGTTCTTCTTGGGAGAGATTATTTAGAGGAGTTTGTTTTAGTTTCATTATTTATTTTTAAATGAATGATTGCCTAGTTGGTGAATGGGTGTTATTTAATCTTTGTTAAGAAAATTTTAAACCCCCACAAAACCAACGGGGGACGGATAATTGGTGGCTTCTGATAAAGGTTAGCCTTATTTAAAAAATAAGTGCTACCTACAATCAAGCAATCACCAAATCTCTTTCCCGTTGTGGTTTTGGGTGGGTTTTTTAAATTATTCACAAATTATAACCTTATCCTTAATTATCATTACTAGTTTTAGAGAAATCAGGAATACCACGCATGGTTATTTTTGAACAATTTGGGCTTGAAGCTGTTTCTCTTTGCTTTGTAAGTTTTCTAGCTCTTTTTGTAATTCAGTTAATTTATTTTGGGTTTGGCAAAGATCATTGATTTCTTGCTCAGTTAGTTTTTTACTCAAATCCTTTCTTATATTTTCTAAATTTTCAATAACTTCATCCTGAGTAGCAGGAAGATTTTTAAAGAAAGCTTCTAGTTTTTGTTCTCGTTCTTGACGTTTAGCTTTGGAGAACTTGCTGCTGCTTCTTAGTTTAGTTTTAGCTGAAGTGACTAATTGTTCTAGAACAAACTTTTTAGCTTTAATTTGCTGTTGTAATTCTCGTACAGTGGAGCCTAGATTTATTTTCTCTTTCCCAAATTTATTTTTGTATCCTTTCATTTCATCTTCTAATTCTGACCTTAGCATTTTCAGATTTTGACTAAGTGATGTTATTGCTCTTTCCATTTTCTCAACACTTAAAATTCTCCCCTCTCAAATACTATCTTTAATAAGAATGTCAAAAATTTTATATTCAGTATTAAATAACTTAACTTCTTCCAATCCATCGTTAATTAAAGAATTGTAGACACTATTAAGATGAGATAATTCACTTTCTCTATCTGCCAAGGAAATTTGAAATTCTTTATTACCCCTAGCAGAAATTTCTATTTTGGAGAAGTTATTGCCTGCTTTAATTGCCTCTCCGATGGCTTTAGGAATGCCAAAAGTCACTATGTCAGTAATAGATCCTCCTATATTACTTGTTGCATTACCTATCTCGCCAATCATCTCGTGCCTACTAAACCTACTTTCTAATTTATTGAAGCACTCTTTTAATTCTTTAATAGTTTCCTGACGAACAGCGAGAAAATCTCTTTTAGCTGCTAGAAGTTCATTAATTTTGTTGACAATTTCTTTATTATTTGCTTGAGAATAAGAAAATTTAACTTCTACTTGCTCATTTTCAGTTTTCTCTTTAGGTAATTCTTTTTGTTTATTTTCCGTTTGACTACTGCCAGCTTTTGCTTTTTGAGCAAGCTTTTTACAACAGCAGTTTTCCATAAGATCATCTCCTTCACAGCAACTACAATACTCAGAACCCATACATTGGCAATTATTAGGAAAACTTGTTACTTCTGTTCGGCAGTTAAGGCAATACTTCTTCCTAGGCAACTTATTAATAGTTCCTGTGCTATTATCTCCTACTGCCCCAAAATCAGTGTTAGTATTAGTTCAACCGGCAAACTTGCCAGTATCTTTTTTTTCTTCTGATGTCATAATATATTATTTTACAATATATGTGAAATATCAAGCAAATTTATTTTAATACAGATTAGTTAACATCACTAGAAAAGAGAACAACGCTCTCATGCCCTTTGTCTAATTGTTGAGCTTGCTGCTGCTGCTGCTGAACATTAACGGATCCCGTGCTGCTGTCGCCAACGGCACCAAAATCAGTGTTAGTATTAGTTCAACCGGAAATGTCTGTACTACTACTACTATTGTTACCTACAGAAACATTAAAATTAAATGCCATATTTGAACGAGATTGGTCGCTATCGGGAGAGCCCATTTTCTGCACGATAAATTGTTCCTGCACTTCATCTTGTCGTATTTCTTCTGACAGCTCATCAAAATCTGGTCTTTCATTTGCTTGTTCAGCATCTTCCTCTTGAGACTCTCTTCACGCACTAATACTATATCACTCCCCTTTTAACTCGTAATCTTTAAGCAAATAATTTTTTAATTGTTCCTTGATTACGGAGCATTTTCTTCTTAAGGGTCAAAAATCATAACAAGCACAACCGATTTCTCCTACGCTTATTGGCAAACACTCCAAACCTGAGCCAATATTAGTATTAGAAATATCTACTTTTCCCAATTTACTTAATTTTTTAAGTTTTTCTAAAGATCCTTCAAAGCAATGTTTGTTAAAAAAAAAGTTAACTTTGTTGCCAACAAACAAAGATTCTAAATTCTCAAAGTCTCTAAAAAAAGATAGTGAACTTCTCACGTCATTGTCGCTAATATCTAAATAAGTGAGTTTTTTTTCTAATCCCTTGAGAAAACTCAAGTCAATAAGCAAATTATTTTTAACACTGATATAATTTAATTCTGGACAATTGGAAATTTCTATCTCCTTAATTTGACAACTTCAAAGTTTGAGTTCGGTAAGCTTGGACAAGTTGCGGAACGTTACTTTTTCCAATCTGATTTTTCCGCTACGAGAAATCACTCGCTCCAATTTAGAAAATTCATTTCCATCAATTACTAAATTGTTTTCTTCTATGTCTTTGTAACTGATATCTATTTCAAAAAATATGTTTCTAGAAATTCCCTTTATCCCTTCTTTTTCTATTAAATGACTCTCAAAACTTTGTGGCATAGTATTTCCTTTCTATTACTTCTATGATTTAAATGGCAAATTGCTTTGTTGAATTTTGGCTTCTTTAACTAGAACCTCTGTGTCTTCTTCTTTTAGAAGCTGAGTCTCACCTTTCTTTTTTTCGAGCAGTAATTCTAAGCTAACTAATTTTTCGCAGTCTTCAATTATTTGTTCAACAATCCTAGAAAGATTTCTATTCTTTAATTCTTCATAAAGTTTTTCAGCATTTTTCCTGGCTCCGCTGTCTTCTTTATTTCTTGTAAATTTCTTGTTGGCTTTGACGAAGCTTTTTATTAATTCTGCTAAACCTGGCTTGGAATTTTCATAATAAGATTGGAATTGTTTTTTTGTTTTTTCTATTTCTTTTTTTATTTCTTGCATGTCATTATTGTTTATTGAAACGCTAGTTGATTGGAGGATTCGGACTTGTTTCTCAAGTTGAAAAATATCAACAATTTGCGTTCCTGTAACATCACTGCTATTTCTAACCCCACCAGTAAAATTACCTGCTGAGAATTGGGTTGTTGATTCAGGCACTATCTGATTTATCATTTTATCACATTGCTCTTGTAAAATTTCATTTTTTTCTTGAAGTTTAGCTATTTCTGCTACTACAGAATTATTTCTCTCCCTTTCAAACTGCTGTACTTGGTTTTGGTGAGCTTCCTCGTGAGCTTTTACTAGAATTTCTTTTTTTTCTTTACCCCTGGTAACTTGCCCTAAGGTTTGTTTTTGTTCTTCAATTAGCTTGTTTTTATCACTAAGTTTGGCTTCTGTCTCCATTTCTAAATTTACTAACCTCTCACAACCATTAAGCATGCGTTGTACTTCATTCATAATTTTGCCTTTAGTTTCTTGCGGTAATTTGGATTGTAAATCTTCTTCAATTCTTTCGCAGCTTTTTTTATATTCCTTGCACTTCTCATAATAATCAGAAGCATCAATTCCTTGCTTTTTGAACTCAGTAAATTCAAAGCAAGCTTTAATTAATCTTTCTGCTAACTTTTTGTCTAAACCAAAATGAATAAGGTAGACATTAATCTTCTTTTTTTCCTGCTTGCCTAGATCAGTTAATTCCTGCACCTGAGATTCTAAATAATTAATTTTTGCTTCTTTTTCTTGGAATTTTTTTTCTAGTTCTTGGACTTCGGTTTTTGATTTAGCTAGCTCAATTTCTAATTCTTCTTTTTTCTCTTTTGCACTTTTAATTAGTTCATCTACAAATAACATTAGTTCTTTTGTTCTTCCTGGAGCAGAAAGGCTACCCTTTTCTTTTTTTTCTTTTTCCAGTTTATCTACGAATTCTTGCTTGGCTTCCTGAGAAAGCGAAGCCAAAACCTTTTCAAGAAAGCTTTTCAATTCATTGTATTTTTGTTGAAAAACTCCTCCGCTTGCAATCAGTTGAGAGGAATCCTCCAGACTCTTATTTTGTTCGCGCAGCTTTCGAATATCTATTGCTAATTTTTGGGGATTTAGTTTGACTTTTCCTATCAATTCTTGAATTTCTTCCAGGAAAATTTTTCAATCATCTTTGTAGAAATTCAAATCTTCAACTAGTCTAGTGTTTTTATAAGAAAAATATTCTAAATTCTTAGGTAAACATTCTAACCCAGAAGAAATTTTATTATTACCATCTATTTCTAGATTTTTTAAATTCTCTAAACTCACCAAGAATTCCAAACTAGTTAAAAGATTTTTTCGAACATTTAATTTCTTAATTTGAGGACAATTTTCAATTACCAAATCTTTCATGCCGCAATCTCAAACGGTACATTCTTGTAACTGAGGCAAGTTTTTGAGAGTTACTTTGTCTATGCTTTTAATATCCCTTAAATACAACTTCTCCAATTCTGGATAATCTTCAATAACTATTTGTCTCTCCTTAAAGTCTTCTCCCGTAAGTTTTATTTTTTTTTCCGCTTTTGGATATTCCTTATTGAATCATTCTTGATTGTTAACCATAGCATTATATTTTATAATTTTTTAGGAAGAATCTCAACTATTTTGGCTTGAAATTCTTCTTCTAGTTGACCTGAGCTAATTACTTCTTCACAGTAACGAATAACTTCGTCCATATTTTCCGTCTCAAAATTATTTTTTTTCAATTCCTCCTCTAATTTTTTCTCTAGCTCTCGAGCATCGTTTCTTGCTTTTGTATCTTCTTCGTCTTTCAGAGATTTTTCTTTAGCTTGAATAAATTCTCTTACTACTTTTTTTAATTCATCAGTAATTTCCTGAGAACTTTTTAATAATTGAGCAATTTCCTTAGTTGGTAAGAGCCGACTAGTATAAACTTGTTTGATCTCATATTTAGGAAATCTTAATTCATCTGGTAAAGTCTGGTTGAATTTTTCAACTTCTTGGAGCTGTTTTGTAAATTCTGTGTTACCGAAACTAATTTCTTCTTGCCACTTTCGTAAAGTTTTTTCCAACTCGTTAGCAGTTGGTCTTTTGGCAGGATCAGCATCTCAACAGCAATTAATTAAGTCTTCCAATAGTTGAGGAATTTTAATGCCAAATTTTGGACGGAGACCTTTAAGTATTTCAAGGGCTAGTTCCTTGTCATGAGGCATTTTTTCTGTGTAACAATTTGTTTTTCTATCATAAACTACATAAGGCGGCAATCATGACAGAACTTCGCAAGCAACGATGCCAAAAGAATAAATGTCAGTTTTCTGATTATATGACCCTCCTCTCAAAACTTCTGGTGCTACATAAGGCAATACTCCATAAATTTTTTCTTGGTCAGTTTCATCAGCCGGTCGACATAATCCTAAATCAGAGATTGAACAACTAGTTTTCTCAGTACCTTTTAGGATATTTCCAGAGTGAAAATCTCTATGTACCAAGTTCTTTTGATGAATGTCTTTTAATCCTTGGGCAATATGGAGTAATTGACTGATTTTGTCTTTAAGGGTTAATTCTCGATTCTTTTTGTCTAAATAATTTCTCATATTACCTTCCAACATATATTGCATGACCATTAAATAATTTCTTTCGGGATCCTGGGAAAGTCCATAGCAAGGAACAATATTATTGAATCAGTCATCAATGATTTTATACTTGGCTGTCTCGTCAAGAAAGTCAGTGTTACTTTGGGAATTATTAAAGCTTTTAAGAACGACTTCTCGATAATCCTTGTAGTTATATTTTAGTAAGTTTTTTGATTGGACTAATTCTGATTCAGGCTGGTAAAGATCATTTATTTCTTCAGTAGTTATTTTTTTGCTTAATCCTGGCTTAATACTCTCTAGCTCTTCAACAAACTTTTCTCGATTAGAGGGAAAATTTTTAAAAAGTAATTCTATTTTTTCGTTTCTTTCACTACGTTTAAAAGACAACTTGCTATTGCTTTCCAGTCTTTGTGATAAATCTTCTTTAATCAACTGTTGTCTTTCATTTACACTACAGCGATCTTTTTCTCTTTGTCACTTTTTCTTTTCAGCATCTCAATGGTGAATATTGCCAGCAGGTCATTTAGCCTTATATACTTTCCCAAACCCTCCTTCGGCTAAGTATTCAACATCAGTAAACTGCTCATAAGGTATTCATTCTAAGAATTTATTAGTTTCGGTGGCTTCTAGTTGATATTTCTGGATAAATTGATCTATTTGGGGATTATGGCTGGTTCATTTAGAGAAATTTTCTTGTAAACGAGAAGCATTGCAAGACTGGCATCATTGCTCCCCGGTGTTGGGATTTTTACATTCAGAACATAAGCCATATTTTTTGAATCTTTTACTGAGTATTTGGTAGTCTTCTTGGTAGTTGATAATCCAGTTTGGAGCTTCTTTTTTGGTGTCTCTTAATCAAGCCGCGAATTCATAATCTTCTGGTCTAACTCCAGCATTTATTCACTCTTTTTTTTTCTCGAGAGTAAATTCTTTTTTTCGTCAATTATATTCATTTCTTAGTTCAGTTAATCTACTCTTTAACAACCAAGGAGCAAGATTCCTTTCTTTTTTTAAATAGTCAGCGAAACCATAATCAGCGAGGATTAAACCAGCCTTTATTCACTGCCTAATTTCTTCTTCGGAGAATTTAAGACCTCTTCATTGTTCATAATCGCGAAGTTTTTGGGGAAAGTTTATTGTTCCTTTATAATCTGCTTCTACTTCTCCTTTTTCATTAGTAAAAAGTTTGCAGATGTTTTGGCATTTGGCTTCCTTTCTTTCGTTTGCTGAACAAGAAAATTTTTCCACACTCTCGGGTAAGCATTCTAAACCACTATCTAAGTCAGTATTGCTAATATCAAGTTCTTTTAATTTCCCCATTCCCCCCAAATATTCTAAGGAACCATAGAATTTGTTGTTTTCTAATCAAAGCTTTTTTAAACTATCTGCATCTTTTAAAAAAGACAAGTCCTGGTGGAAATTATTATTGCTTAAACCTAATCCTTCTAAATTATCACAATATTTAGGCAAAGTAAGATTGGTTAGATTATTATCCCTACAATCAAGTTTAACTAAACTAGAACAATTACTTAAATCTAAATTAATTAGTTGGTTTTTAGAACAATTGATTTTCTTTAACTTAAAACAATTATTTAGACTAAGGGAAGTTAGTTCATTACCATAGCAATTTAACACCTCTAAGCCAACAGAATCAGAAAGATTTAAAGACCCTTGGAAGTTTTTTGAATAAATATCCAACTTTGTTATTTCTCATCTTTGGTTTTGGGGATATTTTCAATTTAATCATTCCTGAGCTAACGGATTCTTAAATTCTTTTCTCAATTGTTCTAAATTCGAAATTAGATCAGGCTGATAACCTTTTCAGCTTAGATAAGCTGCAAGATCATATTCATTTTTGTTTAAACCAATATCTATTCAGGATTTAGCTTGTCGAGGAATGAGATTATAGTTTTTTCATTGCTTAACTTCTTGATAATCATCTGGACTAAACCCAACTGAAACTCAGCCTTGAGCATCTTGGTAAGTTAAGTCCCATTTTTCTCAGAGGTTTTGGTAGGTTTTTTTTCATGAAATATCTTTTCTAACAAAATCCTCATGAATCTCTTTTCAATTTTCTTTAGGCATAATATTTATGTTTTTAATCTTTTTTAATTTTTTGTGAAAAAATTGAGAAGTATTAAAGAATAATTCTAATTGGTTTTAAAATGAAAAAATACTCTAAATTCTAAATCACCGAAGTTACTCCATGCCAAATAAAACAAGCAAATCCCGCTACTAGTAGAGCAAGCAAAAAATAAAGAAATCGCTTTTTAACTTTCTCATTATTTTTTTAACCGGTAATAAGAAGTCAGATAAAAACAAAGCAACCAGATCACAAAAAAGATGAAAAAAGAAAGTAGAATTAACAAATAAACCCACTTATCTTTTCTTTTTGCCAAATCAAATTGTAAAATATAACCGCTGTTAAGGCAAAGTTCAGCTCATAATTGTTGACAGTTCAGTAAGCAAAAACCTCTATAAGCATGAGCAAAAGCATCAATTTGTCCAGCAACTTTTAAAAGTTGGTAGTGAGTTTGTCATTGCTAATGGCTCTCTTTCATGCATGTAAAACATAATAAAAATATTGTTATAATCACCAAAAGTTACTAGCATGCATGCTTAGTTTTACCACCTATCTTACCACCCCTTGCGGGAATAAAAAATTAAAACCCCTCCGCCTCAGCTTGCTTTCGAAATTACTAAAAATATAATATGGAGGTTATTTCTTAAGTAATTTCCATTTAGCAAGTAGAAAACCAATCAACGGTAGTTAACTGCTTTTCAGGGTTTCAACGCCCGACTTTTGACTTGATTACAAGCAAAAGCAACAGTTAATCATTTCGTGCCTTTATCTCATCTAAAATATGAGGAGGTATCCAGACCGGATCGGGAAGTTCCTAAGTCAGGTAGTTGTTAAGTAACCTTAACTTAGCACTGGCTTAGTTTAAGAAGCTACTGATTAAGGCAGTCTTTAAACTACTCGGTTTTCTTATTTGCTTGTGGTTGTTATAAAAACAAGCAACAGGGTAAATGAATTAATCCCTGTGATAGCTTATTAAAAATGAGAGTTAGTAGGCTATCAAAGAGGTTAATTTTTTAAAAAATAGAATTACATCAATTCCATAAATTATTTTTTATATTGTCGTAATGTAAAAGTAAAATTAGATTTATATGGAAAGTCAAACTTTGAGTATTAAGATTAGTACTGGTATTTATCGTCAATTAAAAGATGAAGTCGGAAAAGGTAAAATTAGCAAGTTTATTGAAAAATTGGTAGCTAGAGAGTTGAGCATGCAGGATAAAAAACTAGCTCAAGAGTATCAAGAATCAGCCAAAGATAAAAATCGCTGAAAAGAATCCCAAGAATGAGAGCAAGCTCAAATGGCAGACTGAAATAAACAGGATGACGGAGAGAATAATTAAACGCGGAGATATTTATAAAGTAGCTCTTGACCCAGCAGTTGGTCGAGAAATCAAGAAAACTCGTCGCTGTGTGGTTATTTCTAATAATCAGCAAAATCTTTACAGCCCGTTGCTAATTGTTGTTCCCATCACTTCTGATATGGATAAACTTTATTCCTGAGAAGTAGTTATTAAGTCAGAAGGAAAAGAAAGAAAAATACTAACTGACCAAATTAGAAGCGTGGACAGGAAAAGGATTAGGGAATATAAAGGCAAAGTTAGTTATGAAGTTTTGGCTAAACTTGAAAAAGCTTTATGTATAGTTTTGGCTTTAAGGAGAGAACTTCAAGAAATACATGATTTGACTCAGATACCAACTAAGACTTTGCAGGAAGAATTGATGAGGAGAAAAGAAAATAATTGCTAATCTTTTCCAATCAATTTTTCACCCTTATTCTCCTCCTCCCTCATGATTTAATATCAAACTTTATTTAAAAATAAAAAAATTAGGTTCTATAAAAACCAAGATCTAAGTTTGAATCTAAAATTATGGTCAAAGCCCAAATTTTAAGTAAGCAAACTTATTATGGTTTTATTCTTTACCTAAGAGGGCATTTTGTTAGTCATAAAGAAGATGATTATTTGTTTAGTTTTAATTGTTGAGTAATTGAGTTAATTATATTGATTGGAAGGTAAAATATAATTATATGACAGGATTAGGAAAAGTAAGTAATGTAGAATTTTTACAGGAATTAAGGTATCGAATAGTTGAAAATAAAATAGACAAGCAAGAGTTATTCCAAATGTTAGGAAGTAATGAGGTGATCGCTGAGTACGAAGCAGCAGATTTAAGCAAATTGACTCCTGAAGACTGAAAAAAAGCTTATCAGGCGTTAGAAAAAGATAAAGTTTACCAAGAAGAAGTAAAGTTGTGAGACAGTATTGGCGAAGAAGATGATGAGGAAGAGAATTAGAAGGAAAGAAATTTACTGAACTGATCTTGGTCGAACCGTTGGTACTGAAATTTACAAGATCAGA